GGTTATAAATATTTTGTTGCAAATTAAAAAAAAAAAAATCCGTGCACATCCTATTTAAAGGCTTCTCTCTCTATCAAATACTGGAATATTATAGAAATTAGTCATTTTTAAAAATGCAGTTTAACAAGGCATCACTTCTAAAAGAGAAAAAAAAAAACCACCAAAAAATTCATACAAATTTTAATAGTGCCTTTCAACCCAGACACCATCAAAGCAGCTTAAATCCAGTGCACAGAGCACCAGTGCAATGCAGCAGTTTATGGGGTAGAGCCGGGCAGAAGCCAGGATGTCAGCTTTCTCATAGAATGTGGCACACTATGTTGGAGGAATGAAGAATTCTTATGCAAGATTTAGGGCCAAAATCTTGCTTAAAGTTATCATCCAAATTCTCTCATCCCCACCCCTGATACTACCAAGTGAGCTGGATGTTACTCAACAGATAAAACTTTGGAGGGATGAAAGACTGAGTTGCCTTGACCTGTGGGTCTTGAGAGTTCAGACACAAAGCCACCCCCACCCCATCTTTTCAAAACTGCCTTTAAAGCTATCTAAATATATCCACATTGTTTTAACTAGGACATACAGTTCACAACCAAACTCAAACAATGTCGATTATAGAACAATCTCAAGAGACCTGGAGCGCAAAATACATTACCTACATATCATCAGTCAAATTCATACACCTAGATGCAAGATCATTCCAAAACCAAATTGATTTAGAATTTTAAAAAGTGAGATTTTCAGATATAGCAACACTTAAGATGTCATGAGGACTACTAAAACTATTTAACCTTGTCCACATCATATTACAATCTATGCTGACACTCCACCTTGCTTCCCTTTAAAAGCTCTGAAAGCTATTTTATTAGTTGTCTTTATAATTAAGTTTTGTACAGGTCCCAACATTTAGACGTTTGTTTCTAAAATGCCTCATCTGGTATGAAGAGATGTAGGCAAACTACTAGGCATTATAAAAGTTTTGACAACAGAAAAAGATATTAATTTGGGTGGGGGCAGAGGGAGAACTATGAACACTAAAACTGTATGTGGCAGCCTATTGGCAGAGTGAGGTAAAGGCATTAACAAATTAAGGCCTCGCTCCTGCAATTCAGTTCATACTTGCTGCTTCCATACCAATGCACCCTTGAGCCTGTGCAGAGCCGTATTACTTCAATGGGGCTTCTTGTGGGTGTAAAGGTCTGCCTGTGCAGATCAGATAACAAAAATGAGGCCCAAATTCTCAAGTAACAAGATCCAGGAGTTAGAATGAAGGGGTGAGGGCTGTAGGAAGGGGATTGGATAATCCTGCACATATATGTTGCTATATAAGTAATAAATATTATTAATATCAAATGGCTAAGTTGACAGCTGGGGATTTATTGAGAAAAATTTGTTTCCATTCACAAAGGCGGTGTACTTCATGACAATGTACAGACTATTCCAGCATCTGCTACCTGTAACTAACCGCAAATTGCCATGATCTGCAAGTATGCAGCAGCTGCTATTTTTCTGCTTCTCTCAGAGCTGTTGGGCCAAAACAGGCAAAGTTTTTGTTGTTGTTTTTTTAACTCATTGTTGGGGCCCACTTACAATTTGATTTTCTGCTATGACCATATCAATGAGAATGTCAGAATCTTCCAGTCAATAGTCTAAAGATGTTTATTCATGCAGCAAATTGTACAAGGGGATGTTGCTATCATCACAAGTGCCAGAGAACAGAAAACATTTAGTTTCTGTCTACACAACAGTAATTGGCTTGCTGTGGTACAGTACACAAAAATCAACAATAAAGGAAAAGTCCAAAAGGTTTTTTGTAAGTATCTTGCCAAAGTATGTATATTATGCACTAATCCAGGGATCGGCAACGTTTGGCACGCGGCTCGCCAGGCCAGTTTATTTACCTGCTGACGCGGCAGGTTCGGCCGATTGCGGCCCCCACTGGCCGCGGTTCGCCGTCCCGGGCCAATGGGGGCGGCGGGAAGCGGCGCGGGTGAAGGAAGTTTGGCCCGCGATCGGCCGAACCTGCCACGTCAGCAGGTAAATAAACTGGCCCGGCCCGCCAGGGTGCTTACCCTGGCGAGCCGCGTGCCAAACGTTGCCGACCCCTGCACTAAACTCATTGCTGCTGCTCCACCTAACACAGAGGCGAAATCCCAATTATAGTTCCTTAAACCTAACACTCTGGATAGCTGTGAGTCATATGCATACACACCAACACTACTGCAGCTTCAGTCAGAAAATAAGTGGTTCCAATATCATCCATGCATTTTAACTAGACCAAAATTTTTGAAGTGCACAGTCTTTCTAATATCGGAGGGGTAGCCATGTTAGTTGCTTTTTACAGATCCAGACTAAAAGTCCTGTGGCACCTTATAGACTAACAAATGTATTGGAGCAAAAGCTTTTGTGGGTCTGACAAAGTGGGTATTCACCCACGAAAGCTTATGCTCCAATACATTTGTTAGTCTATAAGGTGCCACAGGACTCTTTGTCTTTCTAATGATATTGGGATCTGAGATGTTTTCTCTTCCTTTATATAAGAAAAGCCTTTTTGTAGAGTCATCTTCAAAGTATGCAATTTCCTTCACAATACCCTTGCTGTGGGAACAAGTAAATTGTCCAATGACAAACTAATATTATGCAGTTAAGAGAAGATGGATTAATTAGAGGCAAACAGGTAAAGATTTAATTTTTGTGTATATCATAGTAATGACATACTGTTGAATCAGTCTGTAATATGAGGAGCAAATGTTACCCAATTAATTCAAAACTCATGCTCAGCAGAGTGTGAGTGAAGTTATCATGATGTATATAACAAAGCATATATTTTATATGACACAAGTGGAAGATCCTGTACTCCAAGCAAAGCAGTACAGATTTTTTTTTTTATTATTAGAATACATTATTCACGGATTTGAACAATTATTTAAATTTCAGCTTTCCACTCAAATTCAGGTAATTAAAAGTAGGAACTGACAAGGCTGAATTAGATGAGAAAAATGACAGCTTTACATGTTTTTCCAGGGGCAGCCAACTTACCCTCATTTTGAAACTTAACACACACTGTATTATATCAGAAACATGATCATTTCATTATACCAGCCATCTTTCTTCAAAGAATATGAGCACTATAAAAAGTGTTTTGTTTTGTAAAATGCAGCCTCTTTGTATACAGTCTTTTTGAAATAGATACAACTGCAATAGTTACAACTTCACTGGGCTCTAAAATGCTTTTAATGACTAAGATGAACTATATTCAAGTTATGCAGCATTCTGAATGTATTTGAAATATCAATGGCTGCTTATCTTCATTACCAAGATTTATACAACTAAAATATCACATGGTAATATAGCACCCTCTTCTGGTAAACAGCATTATAAAAAAAAATACTATCCATTCTTGCTCTGGTTACTGAAGCTACCGTACCATCCAAGACAGGAAGCATAAGTTACAAAGCTGGAATATTACCATCATTTACTTCTGGACTATGGGCCAAATTTTTATCTTGGTCTTCATCATTTCTCCATTTTTGCAGGCGCCAATAAACCTAGGCATAATTTTACACTTGTGCTTCAGGACACTTAGAAATCCAGGTCCCTAAATGCACTCTCAGTTATTGGCATCTGCAAGCCATGGAGGCTATTGTCTGAAATCCTGGCCCAGATGATGACTAAAATGAAAGTGAAGTTTATTTTTTTCTGGGGGGGAGGGAAGGGGAAGGGAGGAAGAGAGACCTTATAGTCTTGAGAGATATTCTTTAAAAATTTGACAAGTGTAATGAACATTGACAGTTAAAGTATTACTAATTCGCCTTTTCCTTTACTAGTTTCACAAGAATCGATACCAAATCTTACTGTAAGAACCCCATCATTCTATCTGCTGAATAGTTAGAGCTTTACTCAGTTGAATAGAATCTACTGTGGTTCCCTCATCTAACATCTCTGCTTAAAAGTGGCATCCTTGGAAGAATTTTTAAACCATTGCCAGTTATCAACATTTGTACTAAACTCACTAAGAAGCAGTGACAACAACTTACCTGTCATCCCATCCATATCCAAAATTTGGATAGGTCAGGGTTTTCCAAACTTTTTAGAAACTTTAACATGAATCAATCAGCAGTGCTGGAAGTTTTAAAATGATCATGTTAACATGGGATCTGGAGTCCTACTCCAAACAACTTTTGAAAAACAGATGCAATCTGGAAGCATTTCAGTACAAAAGAATGGCAGACAGTGGGGGTGGGTGTTTAACACAATTTCAGAAGCTAGATCTTTCTTTTCTGAGTCCCCAACCCCCTTGCCATTTTTGTTGGTTTATAATCACGGTTTCCCCAAAGCCGCTCTCCCCCCCTATTGCTATATGAAGGGACCATGGAAGCAACAGGAGAAACCAATTATAGTTGGACTATACACAAAGTAAACAAACTGGAAAAAATAGAGAAAAAGTTATTTTTCTTTTAGGTTCTTTCATACCAAAGTTGAGGAGGTCACTTTAAATCTACATCTTCCGAGATAAAAATCAACCTAGATCCCACTATTTTATTTTCGTGCTACGGAAAGCCCACAAGTCTTTATATATAAAGACATGGTCTTGAGACATGAACATTTTTATCCCCTCTATCCCCACCAGCTCACTCCTTGAAACTCTTAGAATTTCTGACAACTATGGCAAATCTTGTTTCAGATTATAAAAACTATAGCACATTCCTGATTTATATTGAAATAAGGAGACAAAGAAACACAGCTGATATTAGACCTTGTAAATTATGAACAACCAGGAATTATGCATAGCCATCAGCTTGCTAACAGCCACTTCCTTTGGTAAAACTGATACCACAGGTAGAAATATCTAGGTCAGTTTCTTTGAGTAAGAGGGACAAGAATAATTGGCATTTGTTGAAAAATTACGTGAACTGCAATGCTGTATTACACCACAAGGGGGAAAAAGGGGGTAAGAGAGGCGTTAGAGATTTTCTAGGTCTACAGCCAGAACTACTTACCTTTTAAACTCATCATGATAGAATTCAGATTTGCATGTCACCATCTCACTGGCCTGATTATCATCACGACTTCTGACTCCACCAAACACGTAAAGCTCTGAGGCAACTCCACATGCCACTGCCCCAAATCTGAGGGCCAAAAGGAGAAGGAAACAAATAATATTTAATCTGTATACCCATAACCCTGTACATGCCCTACCATAATTCTCTTCCTCTTCCATATTCAGCAGAATTAGATCAAGTATGAAGTAATATTTAAAACCGCTCATAAGTCATTGTACAAAATAATAGAGCAACAGAGTATCTCTTTGGAAACAAAGATCTAAGTTCAAATTCAGTATGAATTCTAATACAGACACAATACCATTTCCTCCCCTCCCCATCCTGTAGAATAGCAGTAATTCTTGCAACATCGGGAGTCTACATGAAACAATCATCTTTGGCCACAGATCCTCAGCTGCAAATGAGAAGTATCCAGTGCTCCTAGGAGCAAAGGGGTCAAAAGTGGCTTTGACCATGGAGTTGTCTGAAAATACTGCTCTAAATTGCAGTAGCAATAGGAGCACCAAAGGACTGTGTCAGCAGCCAGAAATCACTGGGGCCTACACCACAGTGCCCTGGCTATCCTCTTTCCCATCCCACCTCTCCAGCACTAATGCTGGGGTAGTAGGTACCATGACAGCTTCACACCACCCAACAATTAAGTGAGACACAGGGAATCCACCTTGAGGCCCCTCTTTTGCCAACTTTAGGACTGCTTTGCATTACCAGGGTGGCACAAAACAGCCTCAACATACCAAATGACCCGGGCCTTAGTGTTAAAACAGCTGCACAAGCTGTTGACTAGTAAACATACACTAATGTCAGACACGCACACAGCCACACTGTAATTAATATTAACAGTTTATTAGTTTCTTTAAAAATAAGTGGGTTTGGACCATGTTTTTAAATCCATATTATTTTTGGTTTTAAAGGATAAGCAAGTGTCCTTATAACCTGGATGTGCATGTGCATTTTATTCACCTTCTCTCTTTTAGTGGACAGATGGCTGTCCATTGCTGAGTCCTAGGGTCGTAACACTCAACAGATTCAAACAGTTTTCCATAGGAGCCTCCGCCCATGGCATAGATTTTCTTCTTCATAGCTGCAAAGCAGCCAATCTTTAAAAAAAGAAAAATCAGAAGTTGAAATCTATAGTACTTTAAACAGACTATGTTCAGTGTTCTAGATGTGGCAAAGTCATAGTTCAGTAGTCAGTCAGTCTCAATACAACACAATCTGAGCAGTGAGGAAGCAATTTCTAACAATAAATAAATAAATAAATAAATAATACTGAATTTCTAGTTTTCAGCAAAAGAAAAACATTTGTGTTTGCTTGGAAAAGAAAGGAAAACAAGTTCACATTGAGTTACCCACCCCATTTTCATTTAGAATTACTCTGTAGAAACAGTAGAACAAGTATCCCCTAAAACTGCCCCTTATAATTAGCTAAAAAATATAGGACTTATACTGGATTGTGGCCACCACCATAAATAACAGTCCACTAGCTTATTAACCTCTGTCCAAAGGGAAAAAGTACAGCAGGAGTGAAGGTAAACCAATTTTCACATTGGGCCGCAGTTCAGTTTGTACAGTGACTCCTACATTTTAAACACATTTATTTCCATGTATTATACCTTCCACAGTGATTCCTGAGGTTCTCTTCAACAAAATGTATTGACTGTACAAAAATGCATTACGAACGCTTTGCTTAGAAAATAAAGCTGATGAATTAGCTGTAGGATATATTAGCTTTTAAATGTTCATTAGTCAGACTGATGCAGTTGCACTAGTTTTTTTCTTCAAGTTTATTCATTTTTAGTAATAACATAAAAGAGATCAGACCAAATGAAATAAGATTTTACATTATTTTGAAAGGACAGTATCATTAAACAAGTAAACAACATGCATAAAAAAGCCCAGCACAAGTTCCTCTTTCATTTTAAAATTAATCACCATTGATGAATTTTGCATCTAATGGAAAGATGAAAGCGATACAAAGAAAAGGACATTTGGTTTACCCAAACTGCATCTCAACCAGCACAGTCTATAAAAATTTGATCTAGAACAACATTTTGCCTTGATATATAAATTGAAAGAAGAGAGATTCCTCTCCCCCCCCCAATATGTTATTTTCATTGAGAAATATTCACATCAAGTAAAAGCTGTAATATAAACAGTGAAAGTATTTGAATAGGGACTTTAAAAAGAGTTTAACAATAATACTTTTCTACATTATGATGTAGTTCTTACCTTTCTAACCATGGTCAGATCTGGCTGCTTGGTCCAGGTCTTGTTATAAATGTCATAGCACTCCATAGAGCGTAGCTCCCTTTCTCTATCCTCACCTCCCAGAATATACAGAATTCCATCAATCTCTACCAAACCAAAATTATGCCGTGCCTATAGGAGACACCAATAAACATTGTAGGAGCATATTACAACAGTAATGGCTGTGTAATCATTTTTAACACTTGCTCTACCTGCAGAAGTTTGTAACTCAGATCACCTCTGTTTAAAAAAAAAAAAAAAGATATAATGCAAAATATCAATCTCTGGAGCAAGTTTTTTATTCTCTAATTTAATAAAAGAATATAAGAACATAATCTAGGACAAATAAGAGCATTAAAGTTAAAACAGAGGTTCAGCAAATGAATAGCAGCATGTTTCTTTAGTATTCAAGGATCTGAGCTATGGACCATGCTCCATTCTTCAACTAATATGGAAGCAAGAATTTCCCCTTACAGTGACCAGGTCTGGCCAATCAATGCTGCAAATAAACAATCTGGACCCATAATTCCCCATTGGTCCAGCTCTCCTGATGGTAGCAGTGATGGAACCTGTAGTTTAGTCCGAGTGCAAGTGTTTTTAAACACGTTTTCTCTAACCTTATTCACAGTAGGCTGTAAAAACACTGCTAGAGGTTCCACAGTCATCACCAAAAGAGCTATGCTGAAATCTCCTCAGGTGCAAGGATGAATTATTTAATAGGAGGCCTTTGGTGAAGAAAATTCTGGAGCACAATCAACAACTTCTTAAATAAAAAAATCCTATACCTGCTTAAAAAATCAACACCCCAAAAAGGTGACTTTCAGGACTTAAATTTATATATAGTGGAATAGTCACTTTTTGATGGCAGCTAAAACATGAAAAAAGAACCCCGACCCCCAAGCCAAACTGGCAAGTTTAAGATAAGGTTCAAGTTACTTTCCATGTGTTGCTCCACCCCACCATTTCATGTACATCCTTCTGCATGGTCCAATCCTCTCATCATGTTAGATTCTCAATACTATTTTTATATATACACTTTTTTTTTTTTTTTTTTTAAGGCCAATTAACTCTAATGGGTTACTTTATGAACAGAACCAAACATCAGAGTTCATAAGGAATTCTGCAGCTCAGCTCCATAGCTAGTTCTTCAGTAACAACCAACGTTTTCCAGCAGCTGCAGTTATTACTAATCCAAACTTGGCATCTAGGAAATATACAAGAAAAAAAAATCTGCACCATGGCTTTATAGTTGGATCAAGTGCAAGCAGTTGGAAAAAATCAATTGGTCTGACCTATACTGCATTCTATAAGTACCATCTGTCCATGATACTGTACTTATATGACCCCCCCCCTGCCCCCATAAACATAGCATCTGAGTGCCTCCAAATCTTTTAATGTATTTATCCTCATAACATTCCTGTTAGGTAGGGGATTACTATTATCATCATTTTACAGACAGGGAACTGAGGTACAGAGAGGCCAAGAGACTTGCCCAAGGTCAAAAGGAAGTTTCTGGCAGAGCAGAGATCTCCCAAGTCCTAAGCTAGTGCTCTAACTTCTACACCATCCATCCTCTATTTTTCAAAGGAAAAATAAACCCCCATACAGTTGGGTAGTGATCTTGCCTCATTCATTGGTGGCAAGGAACTCCATGAATTGGTATCAGGATCATATTTTTCTCCAGAGCTCAGAGTTTCCTTATTTTCATCTTGACCTCCAAGTACAAACAAAAATCCTTCTGTAAAACAAAGTGCATGTGAAGATTTTAAAATGGAAGTCACACCAATACTCGTCACAGGGCATTGAGCTACATCTTGGAAATCACAGGTTCATAAAAATGCCATATTGGACTCCAGACTGGCAAAGGGTAAAGAATGTACTTTCCCCTGTGGTTTAACCCACCAGTGCAGACTCTACAGGCCAAATTCAGCACTGGTGTACCCAGTGCAACACTACGGAAGTCATAGTGTGGTTACTGGAGTAAAACATTCCCATAGCGACAGATTCAGCAGACTCCAACAAAATATCAAAGTATGATTCCAAGATCTTCACAAGACAAAGCAGCATACTGGGGGAAGGCGGGTGGGGGGAAAACGAACAGGCTCCAGTGTAGCTTGCTCTAAGAAGGCAAACTACATTACAAACTATACCCCATTTTGACAACCTGGTGAGTTTAACAAAAAGCCAATGGAGTGTAAAGTAACATGCTGTCATTTACCTGCTGAGAGTACCCCATGGTTGATTCTTGGAATGCTCATAGGGGCAAGTTCAATCCAGAGTTGCCTATTAGGATCATAAAGAGGGCACATGCATCGCATCACAGCTGTTGGCTTCCGTGACCTGAAAAAGGAGGAAATATGTATATATATGAAATAACATCTGTGTGTGTGTGTGTGTGTGTGTGTGTGTGTGTGTGTGTCTCTCTCTCTCTCTCTCTCTCTCTCTCTCTCTCTCTCTCTCTCTCTCT